TTAAGAAAAAGCCAGGTTCAAGAAAGACGAGAAGTCTTGGAAAGGATAATTGAAACAATTAAAACCATTGGCAAACGAGGAATGAGTTACAGGGGAACACAAAGCGAAGCATCTCAATCGTTAAGTAACACAAATATTGACCATGGAACATTTCTAGAACTAATTTTACTGATAAGCAAGTTTGATCCTATCTTAAAATCTCATTTAGATCATGTTACAAAAAATGCTCCAAAAAATTCATCTAATGATGATGAATGTAAAAAAGTTGGGCGTGGAAGTTTTGTATCATTTTTGTCAAAAACTACAGTTAATAATATAATTCAAATTATAAAACAGATTATGAAACGCATAATAGCTGAAGAAGTAAAAGAATCAGAGATGTATTCAATTCAAATTGATACTACCCAAGATATAAAAGTAGAAGATCAGTGTAGTATTATCATCCAAAATGTTAATGATTCAGTCAATGAAAGATTAATTGGTGTATCTAACGTTATTTCATCTACTGGTAAATCAATGTTTGAACTAGTCAGTAATATTTTAATGGAAAATGGAATCGATATAAAATACTGTATTGGGTCAGCTACAGATGGTGCATCTAATATGCAAGGCCAATACCAAGGATTTAGTAAATTTTTATCTGATGCAAGTCCCGGTCAAATACATGTATGGTGTCATGCACATCTCCTAAATTTGGTGATGATTGATGCAACAAGCAAAACTATGGAATGTACTATTTTTTTTGGGTTATTAAACAGTTGTGCTGTTTTTATAAAAGACTCATACAAAAGAATGAATTTATGGAAGGAAATAGGAACTGAGACAAACAGAAGATTAGTCAATGCTAATGATACTAGGTGGTGGTCAAAGGATGCAGCAGTAAGATCAATTTTCGGACGGTTTGGTTCACCAGGTGGAAATCAAAACGATGAAGGACTTTATGGTATTCTTGTTACCACTCTAAAACATATTTCATCCTCTCATTCAATTAAAAATGATATTAAGTGTAATGCTCGAAGTTTAATGAAACATTTACTTTCTTATAAAACAGTTATAACAGCTCAGTTATACTTAAGACTATTTGAACACACCACACCCTTATCTAAATACTTACAAACAAATGGTATGGATATTTTAAAATCCCAGCGTATGGTGAACACAACTATTAAAGACCTTGAAACTATATGTAGAGACTTTAAAGAGGTAAAAAAAGCAGCTGATAACTTTTTGGTATGGGCAAATAAAAAATCTGATGAATTGGAAACTAATGAAGTCATTGTTAATGGTTTTTTATCTGAGGACTCAGTAAGAAAAAGAAAAAGAAAACGTATGTTTGATGAAATACTTGAAGATCAGCCATTTGATGATCCTGAAGAAAAGTATGAAAATAGTTTTAGATTAAATTTTATTAAGTTTGATTAAAACAGTATAATTATAATTATATTATATATTTTTCAGGTTTAAAATAAATGTTCACAATCATGTTATTGATACAGTAATTATGACATTAAAGGAACGATTTAGCAAGTATGAATCATTGTTTGCAGACTTCTCCATATTGGATCCAAAAAACTTTAAAGATACAGATCAAACTATTTCACACAAAGCATTTGAAAGATTAAGTCATCTCATAATGCGTTTTGATTCAAATGCTACAGCTAACAGTTTAAGGTTAGAGTTTTTTGATTTTAAATCAAAATGGCCAAAATTATGCCAAAAAGTTCCTTCAGATTATAATATAGATTATGAAAATGACAGTGACCAGAGCGATAATGATATGAGTGATTTGCAACTAAACAAACAGAGTTGTAAGAAAACGTAAAAATTGCATTTTATGTGTTTATTTAGTTTTAAAAAAATTTAACTTC